GATGGTTTAGTCATCAGGTCACATTTATCCCTGCTACAACCTTAAGGGACTTCACTGAATTTTACATCAATGGGTTTTCTGTCCAGATCCTACAGTGCTAACACGCAGTGAGCTCCCTCGGTCTCTTTTGCACATATGCAGATATATGAAGTGACTCTGTTGGGCACAGCTCCAAGTACATCCCCTTCTTGTTCTGTCATTTGGCAAGAAAGTAAAAAAGAAACACACACAAAAAAAATAAACTAATGCAATGGTTTGACTACGCAGAAAATGATCATACTAAAAATTGGTCTATTGTCAATTCTAAGCATGTGCAATAAAGATCAGTTTTTAGATGATCAAAGAGAAACACAGATTTCCATTTCAAAAGCATGCAAGTTACTGAGAAGTCTTATCTTTCAAGAATGCCCATATCTTTGACTGTGGCCCAACTACAGACTGAGAAAGCTCAAAACCATCAAGGTGGCTAAGAGATATGAAAGGGAGGTCACAGACTAAACATTTAGCAGTGGTGAATGTGAGGCATCTGTGAAGTGACAGAACTGTAACTATACTACATGGTTTTGGAATAATAATGGGGAAAAATTGTCAAAACATAATTCCCAGTTTTCATTTATCAATGAGTTCAAGAAATCAAGAAAAAGAATGACTAAATATGTACACAACTTTCAGAAGGAACTATGACAACTTGTTGCTTTACACATACCAGTCTCATTAAATGTATCAGAGTAACACACTATGGTGTGCAATGAGGTACTGATATTGTTTGATAACCGGATTCTGCTCTCGTAAGACCCCACCTGGAACACTGCATCCAGAGCTTGCAACCTAAGACAGTTGTGGGCCTGCTACAGTAACTGCTAAAGCATCTCTCCCATGAAGAAATGCTGAGAAATACGTCATTATTTAGCCTGGAAAAGGCTCTGGGGAGACCTCACAGAGGTCTCTGAGCCTCTAAAGGAGGCCAAAAAAATCATGGGAAGAGAGTCTTTACCCAAGGGGTAATGGTTTAAACTAAAAAGGGGTAGGTTTAGATTAGATATTAGGAGGAAATTATTTCCTCAGAGAGCGATGAGGCACAGCAACAGGCTGCTATAGAGACTGTGGGTGCCCCATCACTGGAGGTGTCCAAGGCCAACCTGGATGTGCATCTGGGCAGCCTGATCTAGTGGTAAGTGTTCCTGCCCACAGAAGGGGTGCTGGAATTGGATGGGCTTTAAAATCCTTTCTAACCCAAACCATTCTGTGATTCTATGCCGTACAATCATATTCTTTCACCATAGTGAAAGCACTGAAGTTCTGGCTTCATCCTAAACAGAAGGTTGATGTGAAAGTTCCTCTCATCTGTTCCCTGTTTGCATCACGCAGGAGGACATGCGTAGTCACTAGCCTCTTTCAGGCCTTGAAACTCGGGCAGCCTGATCAAACTGATAAGAGATCTTAAGTTACTCTGTTTCAGCAGTACATGCCAACAACCCCCTAAATTGTAATAAATCATGGTGATAAAACCTGCAGTTTCACCCAGCCTAACTCATTCCTTACTTCTGAATGCACGCAGAGCTGCAACCCACGCATTCACAGAGACATCTCCCTGCACCAAGAATTTACATAACTAACTCCAGTTACTGCTAATTAGAATGCCTCAACTCCTCCATTAGCTTTTTCCGTATCTTTCAGTTAGCTTTAATAGGAGGGTACACATCGTCAATTATTATTAAATAGAAATCTAATTGGCCACATTACAAGTGAGCTGAAAGAATAGAATAAAATAGTTGCACACTGTGTAAGCTAGAAAACAGCTTACAATCAAGCAGCTTGGTGCACTATGTGAGACACTTGAAGCAATCTGACCACGTCCAATCAGTCTTCCAATTCTCAAGTTTTTAAAAATCTTTTCCCTTCCCTGTTGCTGTGAGATCTACACAAATCAGGAAAACATCAATGACAGAGAATAAATCGTGTAATTAATTCTGCATGTTTGACAGCAATTTCAATTTTTTTCCCCTCCTATCTTTTTTTTAGTGATAGCAAGGATTTCCTGATTTACTATTCCACCCCCCAAAGATGGATTGCCTTTTAGCAGAGTAATTGCTTTGCCTGCTTCCTATTTCACATCATATAATATTCCAATAGCTCTAGAGAAAGACTGCATACAGTAAGTATTTAAACTATTTTAATCTGTCCTGTGGCAGGAGTCAGCAAATGGAATTAAGGGGAGGACTACAGCCGCATGAGTAGGTAGTGGTTCCCTGATCTCCAGGTGATGTGGATGACATTTTGAGGTGCTGAGCTGCAATATATTTAATCTTTGCAGTTCCACACAACTGCAAGTGCACACCATGGGGTTAGTACTTGAGAAGATCTCTTGAAAACACTGCATCTGTTTGATCCGTTTAAGGAACAAATGCTGTAGCAGCACATTTATTTTTTAAGAGTAACTAGTAAATGTTGACAGTAGACACACAGGCACTGGTCAGATTGTCCAGGCTGTCATTTTGTACACACAGTGCAATTCCAACAAGAAAATATTATCTGGTTCAGTACTGCTTTCAGAGAATTGAAAACATAATAACTCTCAGGAACAGCCAAACCAAGAGCAAAGCAGCCCCTCATTCCCGTAAGCCTGAGAGCAGAGAAGTTCTCAACTGGAACTCTGCACATACAAATATTAGAATGGCCTGGGTTGGAAGGGACCTCAAGGATCATGAAGCACCAATCCTCCTGCCACATGCAGGGCTACCAACTTCCCCATTTAATGCTAGATCAGGCTGCCCAGCTCCACATCCAGCTTGGCCTTGGACAGTTCCAGTGATGAGGCACCCTCAGTCTCTATGGGCAGCCTGTTCCAGCACCTCACCGTTCTCTTGGTAAAGAACTTCCCCCTGACATCTGACCTAGAACCCAGGGACACAGCATCACAGTGACATCTCCAAGCTTTCTAGCAGAGCTCTCAGGCAGCTATCACACAAACATGCCACATCCAGCTTCTCTCTCAGCCACTGGGCCCAAGCCAGCTCCACTCCAGGCATTCCTCAGCGAGCTGTCATGCAATAGGTCATCATAAGAGTGCTGTGCACTGTCACTTGAAAAGAGGAGCTGAGAGGCTTCTACCATGAGAGCCTCTTTTGAAAAAGAAAGCAGCTATGTACACACACAGCTCAATTTGCCGCGTGCAGAAATCCTTTCCAACACTTTAAGAAGCAGCTGCTAAAAAGGAAACGACAGTTGGCATCATGGGCAAACACCCTCTGAAGCCATCCCATATGCATTGTCCCCACAGTGCAACTTCTGCAACCCTCTCCTGAATCCAGAACACCAGAGACTTTTCCCAGGAGCAAGAAAGGAATGCTCCCAAAAAGGGCAGAAGGACGGTGTCTGGAAAAGGTACAAAGCAAAGATGGGGAGACAGGAACAATACTAGGAAAGAAAGAAACAGTGGTAAAAGATGCAAAGAACAAGATGACGGAGTAAGACAGGAGGTATTTCTTACAGCAACAGTCTCCAGCACAGTATCTGTCAGGGAAAATGACAAAGAAATGTAAAGAGAATTAATGCACTTAAAGAAATAGGGAAAGAACAAAAGTCAGGAATAGCAGCTGCCCCAGTGTCTGTGGTCAGATTACTCTTCCCCATCACATACTAAACTTTGGAGGCAAGATGTTCCAAGAGGTATTCAGACTGCCCATTCTGGCCCGGCCTATCAGAATGAACAGGGGTTATCTGTGTTTATTTAATAGTTCTACTCATTTGGGAATACAGGAGAAGAAATGAAAACAAACAAAAAACTCAGTACACATTTCAGAAGCTGTTCCCAGTACCAGAGGAGTCTGGGTGTCGGAGCAGCTGGCAGTGAGCCACCTTGAGAAGACAACTTCCTCATCATCCTTCTGTCATGGGTTCCCACACAGAGAGGCAACACAGCCAAACCCACTTCTCTCCTTGTTAAAAACAAAGCCAAGAACACAACTACACATAAGTCAGACCCATCAGACTAAACACCAGGACGATCAGTCTGTGTCTTAGCAGCTCTCAAGTGGGCTGAACCATTTAACCTAAATATAGAGCAAACAGATTCTGCAATGAGAAGGACAGCATGTAACAGCCTGTACACCATCCATACTGATGCAGCAAGAAGATTAAATGAATACAGAACTGTGCAGCAGATAATTTCTCATCTATTCCAGGAATAAAACATTTTCCACAAGAAGTAGGTAGCGTGGGGCAATTCATTACTACAGTCTCCAAAAAGTAAATCATATTGTGACTATTTTGTAGCTAAAGCCAAATATCAGCAGTAAAGCTGCCGCTAAGTATGCTGAAGCTAAAACCTGCTGTTTGCTCACTGTAGCTGTAGTGCTATTCAAATTGAGCAAGGGCACCAAGCACAGCTCCAAGGCAAAGAATGGCCCTGAGTTCAGAGAGTACTTTCTTCCCAAGTGAGATGCACAATGAACATGTTGAGAACTGCTAGACACACTGACTATAAAAATCACTCTGCTGTTGCCTGAGCCCTGCTTTCATCATTATGTGCAAGCTCACAGGTGTAAGGCAAGAGTGGGCATCACCATTACTCTCATATGCACACATTTATAAACACGTAGAAATTATATCCTCAGATGTGCACTGAGAGATACACAGCACCCAAAGCGAGGCAAGTGCTGCTGTACACATGCACACATTCCTACTTTTCACATTCAAGCTAGCATTACAATTCTGACTTTACCCATGAAGATGTTGGGAAGGAGCACATTGCATACCAACACCATCCTAAGACTGGAGGCCTCAGGACATGAACAGTCCTCAGATTTTCTCCTTTCCCAGGTAGAAGTGCACTTTTTAACTCTTCCCTGTTTCTTTCCTTCTTCCTACCCTTCTCCTCATCTCCTTCCCCAATAACAGAAGAAAAATTACAGATTTCAGGCTCTTAGCACCTAAACCAATACAGAGGAGCTGATGTGGTCGGATTAGCTACAAGGGGAGAGTCAGGCAACAGGCAGTACCTGCGAATAGCCCAGATAGCTTTGCTGGTCACAGGAAGGCCACCGCTGCGCGGCTCCTCGGGGTGGCAGGAGCTCCAGGCAGTCCTGTGAGCGAAGCGATGCTTCCCATTCTCCCGAGATGAGACTGGCAGCGAGGCAGGGAGTGAAGCTGCAGGCTGCCGGACAGATCTTGTATGGGTGCCCCCATTCCTCCTAGGCAGGCATTGAAAAAGCAGAGAAAAGGGGGAAAAGAGGGGAAATTGGAAAGATAAGACGTCAGTTTCAGTTTTGCATGCTTATTAAAAGGTTGAACATTGTGGCACAATACAGCATCTCACTGCAACAGACAATTTACTTAAGATTAAGGTGATGTGTATTGGGAGGACGGGACTTACTGCTTCCTACCTAAAACTAGTGGAAGACACCCAAGAGCAGCACAAGACAAGCATGCCTATGCAGAACTGCTCTCTGCAGCTCCAGCATGATGGGAAGCACAGTGACAAATAATATGCCTCAATCCTCAATTTTTTGGTGCAGAAAATAAACTGTGCTCTGCCTTGTTTAAACAGAGATCCAATTTGTACAGGATGGTGGAAAGAACAGGAGGAGGAGAGGAGGACGGTGAGGCCCTGGCACAGGCTGCCCAGAGAAGCTGTGGGTGCCCCACCCCTGGAGTGTTCAGGACCAGGTTGGACGGGGCCCTGGGCAGCTCTGCTGCTGGGTGGCAGCCCTGCCCACAGCATGGGACTGCAGTTGGGTGGGTTTCAAGATTCCTTCCAATCTAAGCCATTCTGTGTTTCTATGAGTTTCAGCAGTATGAAGAAGGCTATTGGTTTTCTGCTGCCCCTTAGAAAAGAAAATAAATCACAAAATCCTGAGTGTCACAGAGCACACAAGACATGCAACTAGAGCAAATATTAAGATGCAGCACATCTGAACCGCAGAGATTCCTTTCCGCAAACTAAGCAGCTGCCATATCTGAGCAACTGAGTGCCACTGGAGCACAGGAAAAAACCTAAGCATTGGGATGCAAAGCTAAGGGAATGTGAAAACTGAAGGGAGGGAGGGAGGGAAGACAAGACATAGGTTTTCCCAGCAATTATATTTGTGTCATCTTTAGCCAGGCAGCTCCTGGAACACCACCCAGCAGCCTGCAAACACAGGCACTGCGTGCCTGCAGTGAGCAGTGTGACGCCTATCAGCTCCCAGAAATCTCACTGGCTACTTGCCCACCAGTGACACTGTTACAACTTAGTCAACAGATGAAAGCAGGAGAAATCCCAAGACGAGCCCCCAAATCCTGCTGGGAGGTGGCTGAAAGCACTACTGCAGGAACATGAATTCAGCAGCCTGCTCTACAACTCAAGCATGGCAATTCCCTCTGGGGTGTGACGGGCTGCAGGGCCCAGGGTACAAGGCAGGTAGGAACGTGGGAGGTGATGGCAGGAGCAGGACCTCCTGTCAGCAGCAGCAGCAAGCTCTCACATGTGCTCACTTGTTGACAGATCTGTCCCAGCATAGTATAGGATAGAAATGCATGAAAGAGAGCTCTTATCAGCTGAAAGAATTCTGCCTTTTAATGGAGATGCAGTTACATAGTTACTGGAAAACAATATGGGTGAGAGATACAGTCTTCAAGGATTTTTTTTCTAATAACTCTAGTAGAAGTTGCTAATTATGCCAATCATTCCGGAACAGGCTTGATATTTTCCCCTCTTTTCTGATTTTTTTAAGGACAAGAAGGATTAACCTTGATTTTACTATTGAGTGTCATAACATACTTCAGCAATAACACTAGCAGAAAGAGTTAAACCAGAGAAATGTTAAAATGTTAACAATTCAGCCTGAGCTCCCCTGTAAGAAATAAATATTGGTCTTGCCAGAGTGAACTGAGCACTTCAGAGACGAGTTCCTCACATTTGGTCAATTTGTCAAGCAAAATTTAACAGGCAACTAGAATAACAAACAACACCAGAATGAAAACTTGGTGCCTTCCAAGTCTGTCAAATGAGTGCCATTGAATTCAGAAGGGCAAGACATCTCTGACAGTGCTGTCTAATGATACATATTCTGTATATACAGGCAGTAACACTGGAAAGCACAGTTAGCATAGAGATTACTTACAGTTTGAGGCTATTGCAGGAGAGGGAAAAGAAGTCATATACCAAGCACACACCAAACACAGTGACTCCAGTTTCTTTCACGAGCATTGCACACGTCCCAAGGAATAAACTAAGCAGCAAAAAGAATGGGGAGGCAGTGGGAGGGAAATGTTCCCCAACATAAAGCTGGTCCACACTCCTGAAAAACAAATTTGACATGCATGAAAATAGCAGAAAATTTAAAATATATTTACTACATTCACACAAATATTGAGGCAATTTTCCTTAGTTTCTTGAGATCCTGATAAAAAGTGAGGTGAACAATCTACACTGTTTGCTGACAAATGAAGAAAGTCTTAGACACTGGGGCAGGAAGGGAAAGTACAACTACTGAGAGGTGCACCAGGAACTTGAGCAGAAGAGTAAAAGATGAGCACAAAGATGAGGTAGGCATCAAGTAGACAGAGGAAGGTAGAGTAAGTACAAACACAAAGGTTAGAGAAACACCTGCTTTCTGTCACTTAGAACACATATGCTCAAGTTTTCCTGGTGTAACAAAATGCACCATACATGCAAAATATCCCCCATCTCACTCACACTCCTCCGGGTCAGTGCATGCCCTAATCCTTAAAATCCTAAGTCTAAGTCTATATGAGAGAGAAGAAGAAAACAAACAAAAAAATCAAAGTCAAACAAAAAATTCCTACAGGGTCACTACCAGATTTACACCTTCAAAACCTTAGATGAAAACAGATCTAGATTTGTAGCAAACATCCCTAGAAGAACATGAGCAGCTTTTCCTAAATGAAACATCAATGTGAAGGGGCAGAAACTCCATTCAAGCAAAGCTATTTCTCATGTGTGCTTGTTCAGTTACAGTTTTAGCACACAGCAAATAGTGTCAAGTTTTCATCTGAAAAAGACAACTAATGGTCTGGCCACAATGCTGAACTCTCACAGGCTGGATTCTTCACTCTCCATACCAATAATATGCCTTTAGTAGAAAGCATTTATTTCTAATTTCATGTCCAGTTTGACAAACACTCTACTGGTGTATGGTCAGTTGGTAACGTCAATGGAAAAGGGTATCTTAATACTCTGTCCTTGTAAGGCCCCAGCTGCAGTACTGCACCCAGGCCTGAAGCCCCGAGCACAAGAAGGAAGCTGAGCTGTTGGAGCGGGTCCAGAGGAGGGCCATGAATATGCTCAGAGGGCTGGAGCACCTCTGCTATGAAGAAAGGCACAGAAAGACAGAGCTGGGCTTATTCACACTGGAAAAGGCTCCAGGGACACCTCACTGCAGCCTTCCAGTACTTCAGGGGAGCTTATAAACAGGAGGGGGAGTGACTTTTTACACAGGGTGATCGCGATAGGACAAGGAAGAATTGCTTTAAACTAAAAGACAGAAAATTTAGGTTAGATGTTAGGAGGAAATTCTTTACTCAGAGGGTGGTGAGGCCCGGCACAGGCTGCCCAGAGAAGCTGTCTCCACCTCTGGAGACATTCTAGGCCAGGCTGGATAGGGCCTTGGATGGCAGCTCTGCCCATGGAAGGTTGGAGTTAGATGATCTTTAAGGTCTGTTCCAAGCCAAACCAATCTACAAGTCTATGAAATGCTGACTTCCCTTTTTATACTTATGCTTTCTCAGAAGTGTCACTTATTGGGCACTCCAACTGCAGCATGGCCCAGAGCACAGCCTCAAAGCACCATGCTGGAGGAAGGACCTCTGCAAGCAGTGACCAATGGATTTCTTCCTGAAACAGAGCATCTTATCCAATTATAAGAACTGACACCAAGGAGCCATACCTATTATAGGAGAGAAAAGCCAACAGAAAGAGTAGACAGGCGAGGACATCCGCTCTGCCTACTATACCTGTTACCTAAAAGGAAAAGAAACGCACAGATGTAAAGGCAGGCATATAAAAAGGCATGTACAAGTACATTCAGTGACTGTCTCAACAATCTCTGCTAACCGCTACTACTTTAAATATTAAAAAAAAAAAGCTTAAATGTTATCCTCCCTCACCACACCAAAATGTTACTTGGCTGGTGTAGGATATACTCAGTTTTGACTACTGCATTTCTCAAATGGCAAAACAAACAAGTAATCCAGTATGGAAGTCATTAAGTTCTTTTTAAAATATTAATGAAGTTGCACAGAAGAAAATACCAGTTTCAGGAATCTGCTTTAATTCTGTATACTAAGAGTTGAATGATAAACACATCAAACTCGCAGAACTGAGATTTGTTAAAGAAAAGGACTATTGAAAGGACAACTCTCTGGAGAAGACTTATTATATAGGAGTGAGTTAATAATTAACATTTGAATAAACTTTATCGCCAAAAAGTAATGGAGTCATATGTAATTTATTCTCTTTGAACAATCTGGGTTTATGAGAGTTTTCCCACATATCAAATAACAAAATCTTTTTGTAAGAAAGGGAATACTCGAGAAGGATGTACAACTATTTTTTACAAAATATTTCAATATTCCATTTCATAAAGATCTAAAGTCGAACATAAAGCAAATAAAAGGCCCTTTGAAATTTTGCCTCTTTTGAGCTTACATAATTAATCTATATTCAGTGCTCTGGCATTTATTTTAACCTTTTTAAGTTCTGACCCAGACAAAAATAAATTCAAAGAGTGCTTCTTTAGAACTTTCCCTGTCGTACAGAGCAGCATTATCAAAAGGGGCCTGGCTGATTAGCACACACAAGGCAGCACAGGCAGTGACTGTAAGGCTCACGGCTTTTTGTTATTAAGGTAATCTCTCCTCAAAAGTTCTCAGCAGCAGCAGCCGCTTCACTCACTGATTTACAAAGGCTCCTTACAAGTCTATGATGTCAATGGTATCTCTGCTAACGAGTGCATTTTCTTTTTTTTTTTTTTTTTTTTTAAGCCTGGACAGCTACACATCGCACTTCCTTTGCAAAGACAGCAAGACTTACTTTATCCACAGGAGAAGTACCTCCCCACACTATTAGACTGTGGCTGCGGAAAGAGTAAGTCTTTAACTGTTTTCATAGAACAAGCAGAAAAAAGTGCAGTACAGGCTGCTGCTCTGTGCACTTACCGTAGTATTTACGCCAACGCTTCTTCCGAGGAGGGTATTCTTATTTTTTAATTCAAAGCAATACAAATTAATCCACGGGCCATATGACCTCTATCCAAGTGATCTTGGTCCAAACACATACTGATGCTCCCTTCAGTGCTTCTCCCTTACACTGATGACTACAGAAGGCAAGTGAAGGCATGGAACAATGTCCCAGCAGGAAACAGCAGCCTCAATGAGGTCTTTGGTTATGGAAGGCTTGACATTTTCACAGTGACTGACTGCCCATTTACTGCTGAACTGGTGCTGAGGACCCTCACTGAGAATTGAACACCAGAGCAGAAAGACAGCAAGTCTGAATGAGCGTCTTCCTTAAGAATTGCAAATTCTATTAACTATGGTATATTCTCATCTTTGATCTCCCAAAGCAAAGATCACAAATTCCCCATGGCATATGACTCAGAAGTTTCTTACTAAGTAAATAAATAAATAAATAGGGTGTACTTCTATTTTTAGATTCTTTGCCACCTTTTTTGTTTGCTTTTTTGTTTTGGTTTGGGTTTTTTTTTTTAGTGTCACATACTTACAGCCTCGGTGTGAATGGGATGCACAGCAAAGAACAGCGCTGTGACAAAAGCAAGTCGACAGTCCTTGAACACAGCTTTGTCACAAGTATACATCAGCACGAGAGTCACCAGACAGTGTAGAATTACATTCACTGCGTGGAAATACAAGGGGTTCATTCCAGCCAGCAAGATGTTTAACCTGAAATTAAAAACAAGAGCCATAACCAGGCTGGGGCAGCTTTGAGATGGCAGGACAACTTGCAAATGCTCTAAATTATGCTTTCTGCCTGATTTGCAGTCTGCTAATGTAAGTGCTATTAAACTAATTAGTGAAAATTGCTCTGAACTTCTGGTTTATCTGATTAAAGAGAAAACCACTTCCCCAATTTTCCTCCTAAAATATGCAGTTGAATTTGGCAAGCTTCATAATATGGAGATGGGAGAGGACTATGCCCCTGCATTAAGATAGGTTTGCTACACTGAAGCAATAGATGTGCTTCCCAGAATCCACTACACAGTCCCACATCAGAAATACAGCACTAGCCTTGTTTCTGTGCTTTACTGACAACTGGACTACACTGAGAAGCTGCTATACTACTCAGCATCATTTTTATGAGGACACTAATGTTTGGGACAAGTTAGCTCAGATCATCTTAGATAGAATGAGAGTTTGTTATTTGTGTCTCTCATGAAAGAAGCATGCAACTAGCTGTTACGACATTTATTTGACACAGTGTATTAATGCATTTTTCTGGTCATTGTTTTTTACAGTCAACTTGCTTAACAGCTGCTGACAGGATTTGTTTCACATGCAATTAAAGATAACTTGATTTTCCTTACAAGTAACTGCATCTGTATCTCATTTGAACAAACACACACACACACACAAAATGTCTGTATCCAGTGAGGTTTCTATATAAAAAACAAGGAATTTGGAAGTATTAATGTTAAGAATATTTAAAATAGAAAAGAAAAAAAGAAAAACAGACAACACTCAGTGAAAACATGAATCAATCTAAGCAATTTAGGTTTAGCTACAGATTCCTACTCCTGTTGTTACTAGCAGCTATCGGGCATCTCATGACATCCATGATTCAATAACAATACTATCAAGCTGTTGCTACCATGCAGACACATTCCTTCTTTGTAAGTCAGCGGAGGTGTGGTATGCCTGTGAGGGACGGACAACACATGGCTTTTATAAATACTCTCTACATTCCTTCCCGAGAAGCAGCAGCGTGCTGCTATCTGTCCTGGGCTGCATTCTTGGGGTCAACTCTACTTTAATGCACCAGGCGACTAATTTGTGCATTTCCCTTCTGTTCTCATGGGAGCGTTTGTGGAGGCAATAGTGAAACACACAGAGTTTGGGAAAAGTGGGATTTTACTAGGACGAGACCTTTCCCTCTGAAGTACGGATTGATGCAACTACACCATGACAAGGCATGAGACCGCATGATGCCCTATCCCAGGAGGTGTTCAAGGCCAGGTTGGATGGGGCCCTGAGCAACATGATCTAGCACTTGATCTAGCGGTTGGCAACCCCACCTGCAGCAGGAGGAGCTGGTACTTGATGATCCTTGAGTTCCGTTACAATCCCAGCCATTCTATGGTACAGATACGCATAAAGAGCAGGGTCGTTTTTTTTTTTTTTTTTTCTTTTTTTTCTCCCAGCACTCCTGTTGCTACCACAGAGCTGCAGTGGACATCCCTTTCCCTTATACTGTAAAATCATAGAATATCCAGAGTTGGAATGGGACCCACAAAGACCATCGAGTCCAACTCCTGGCGGCACATAGCACCACCCAAAGCCTATCACCAAGAACACAGTCCAAATAACCCTTGAACTCCAGCACTCGGGGCCGTGCCCACCGCCCTGTGCTGCAGACCCTTGTCGCTGACCCCCAGCTGCCCTCCCCTGACAGCTCCCCCAGTTCCATGCCGTTCCCTCGGCCCTGTCGCTGTCACACAGAGCAGAGCTCAGCGCTGCCCCTCCACTCCCTGTGAGGAGCTGCAGCCGCCATCAGGCCTCCCCTCAGCTCCTCTGCTCTGTGCTGAGCAAACCCAGGGCCCTCAGCTGCTCCTCACAAACTTTGCCCCCCATCTTCGTAGCCTTCCTTTGGACACTCTCACAGTTTTATATCCTGCCTATATTGGGGCACTCCAAATGCACCCAGTGCCACACAGCACAGAGCAGAGTGGGACAAACCTCACCTAGTGGCAGCGCTGGCCCTGATGCAGCCCAAGGCTCTGTCGGCCTTTCTGGCTCCAGGGCGCTGCTGGCTCAGATTCAACTTGCAGCCAAGCAGAACCCTCCGGTCCCTTTCCTGGGGCTGCTCTCCAGCCTCTCATCCCTCCATCTGTACATTGATCCAGGGTTGTCCCACCCCTGGTGCAGATTCCAGCACTTGCTCTTCTTCATGCAGATGGCAACCAACTTTGAAGTTGTCAAGGTTTTGGGGCAATGCCTCTCCACACTGAAGGGAGTCAACACTTCTCCCAGTTCGCATCATCCACAAATTCACTTAACATGGCTTCCAGATCTTTACTGGAGTAATGGATAAAATCATTACAGAAAACCTGCTTCAAAATAGAGCCCTACAGAATCCCACTAGTGGCAAGGAGGGCAACTGTCAGGCCACAGCAACATGGTCCAGCACAGCCATGTTTACAATGTCATGGGACATGCTGAGGGTCACACCCACCATGGTACTGTGCTGTAATGTCACGAGCCAGCTCCCTGCCAACCCTCATCAATACAGGGACCCTGACAACAGAACCCCAGTCAGTAACTGACTTGTGACTTGTGGCCATCTTCTGGCATAAGAAGCAATTTAAACTGAGCTCTTTCCGGCCTCTTCTGGCCTCCAGAGGAAGGTGGATCCTCCACCAAAGAAGTTTAGGCTTCAGGGGAGCAGCAATGAACCTGAGTCAGTGGATGTTGATCCTCCTGAAGGCAATGTCAAGCCCATGGAGGTGGATCTGCCCGCACAGGAAGAACCAAAGGAGGTGAATCTATCTCCATCCAGGCAAGGCAAGCACTATAATATCATGCTTGCTAAGAGACATTGCCACATCCATTGGCAGCACACCAGGGGCTCTCGATTTCCATCCCGGTGTGGAAATGTCACCACCTGCCAGAGTGCCCCAGCGCCAGTTGCTGCTCCTTCACCTTTCCTTCCCTGTCCCCAATCCTCATCCTTCCCCAAGCCCTCTCACCTCTTCTTCCCTTAGCTCTGAGGAAAAGGGAAGGTCTTGAACTGGGACTGGTGTCCTCTGAGCTGCTATGCTGAGCACCACAGGAGGAACCCATAGGATGGCCCTAAGCCCCCTGTGGCCTCCAGGTGGAGGAAGAGGGCCGGACTGGTACTGGTGTCCACTGAACTGCTGCACTGGGACAACAGAAGGAGTCCAGCAGATGGTTCACAGCTCTCTGTTGCCTCCAAGCAAGCCCTAAGGAAGAGGGCAGGATTGAAAATGGTATCCTCTGAGCTGCTGCATGGAAACTACAGAAGTCCTGAGCTTCCTGCAGCCTCCAAGCAAGCCCTGAGGAAAAGAGCCATAGTGAGACTGGAGTCCACTGAGCTGCTGTGCTGGGACAACAGGAGGAGTACAGCCAATGGCCCCAAGCTCCCTGCAGCCTCCAGGCAAGCCCTAAGGAAGAGAGCAGGATTGAGACTGGTGTCCACTGAGCTGCTCTGTGGACAGCCCCAAGCTCCTTGCAGTCTCCAGGCAGTGTCATGGAAGCTACAGACACAGCTGTTTCTTTGGAGATGCAGAGTACTTTGGTTTGGTCAGCAAGAATTGCTGAAATTCAGCATGAAGGTTCATTCCAGTTGTCCAATTGGACTTCTTTCAAGACAGGACAACAAACAGTTCAAAAGGATAACACAGCTTCAAATGACAATAATAATAACAAAAAAAATAAAGCTAGTTAAGTGTCTCTTCATTTCTGGTACTTAGAGTCTGCCCCTGGACTCCTGTGTCTCCTCCTGCTCTCCCTATTGCAGAGGAGCTGGGGAGGGGCCCAGGCACACAGCAACCTGGAGCAGGCTGCAGGCACTGCTTTCACTCAGTGCTGGGCACAGAAGACAGAGAAGAAATGGAGGGCAGCAAGGGTGTCCCCTCCTCTCACTGCAGCGTGGCACCGAGCAATGGGAAAGGCCTCAGCAGCTCCTGGCACCCAGCAGTTGGTACAGGGGGCAGTGGTTGGCCAGAACAAAGATGGCAACAAACAGAAGCAAGAGACACTCAGGCAGAGTTTCAGCTGCAAATACACTGCAGCCATGTGAACCCACCACCAGCCTGCCCAGAGAGAATGGAGGCAGCAACCTAAGCAACATTCCCACCCATACACCTGCAGATGTGCACAATGGCAGGGACCACCTTCAGGACCAGTTCTTCAGACCCTCAAATTATTGCTGGCTGTAAATCAGCATGGTGGACCACAGCTCCCCCTAAAAACAATGTCAAATTGTGCCTTCCCCAGAAATACCCAGAAATTGCCAAAGCACATGAGGGTAGGTGAGGACAGTGAAGACAAGTGAGTCTGGTTATCAGGCAATATGGACAAACCCCATACCAAAAATGAAAGATTCCTGCTTATTTAGCTCTAGCTGCCACTGTCCCTGTTGCAGGGGAGTTGGACTAGATGACCTTTAATTGTCCCTTCCTATGCAAACAATTTCTATGGTTTATTTGGCCAACATGCAAGGACCAGTTACGAAAAGACACAATATCCAACAGCACTCCTGGAAAATCTCTCACTAGCCTGCATGGAAGTTGCTTGACCATTTCTCCCGTCTTGTAAAGCAATTCTATATTGGCAAGAGAGGTAAAATCTCATCATGGACAAATCTTCCCTCCCTATCATGTCCCCTACCCCAACGTCAGGGATGCTCTTTACACCTACCTCTTTTGAGGACACACAGCACGAATAAAACCTGAAAAGTTAGCTGAAAATTGTCTGATCTAAGTTCTTGAAAGCAGTTACATGAAAGCATCAGCCTCACATCTTGGTTATTCCCTTGTATATTCTTTACTAAAGAATTAAAAAGCAAAACAAAAACATAGAAGCAGAACAAAGCACAAACATAACGGCACCATGCTATTCAGTTAAGCCTGTGATCAAGCAGCAAAATCTGGGCGCAAGCATGCCTCGTATGTTTTGAATGCCATCTTAGGTGGCCAATGAACATC